GGCCTGAAAATAGTTGTCCTGTAGGCTGGGCGTGGTGGCTTACACCTATAATCCCAGCACTCCGGGAGGCCAAGGCTGGTGGATTGCTTGACCTCAAGAGCTTGAGACCAGAATGAGGAAGTGAGACCCTGTCTCTAAAAATAGCTTGATGTTGTGGTGGGTGCCTGTTGTCCCAGCTACTTCAGAGGCTGAGGCCACAGGATCGCTTGAGCTCAAGAGTTTGAGGTTGCTGTGAGCCATGATGTTGCAGCACTCTACACAGGGCGACAAAGTGAGACTCTGTCTCAAAAACAAAATGAACAAAAAAAAGTCCTCTTGAGATGGGGAAGGATGCAGAGGAATCAGTTTGTGGGAGAAGAAAGTCAGGAATTCACCACAGACATGGTGGGTTTGAGAAGACTATTAGCAATCTATATAATAATCAGGGGACATTAAGACAGAAAAGTTTGGATTGGGGGGTGTAAATAGAAATTTCAGTATTGTAAGCCTCTGTAATACCCATAAAATCATGGAAATGGGAGGAGACTCGGAAGCAGTGTCATAGGAGCCCAGCCACTAAGAATACATTATTAGTCTTTTTTTTTTTTTAAAAACAATTTCTAGAGATAAACATTAAGTTGGAATTGTTAATTTATGAAGTAAAATGATTCAGTCAAACATCTATCAATGAAGGCAACACTATATATATATATAGATGACAGGAGCATAAATATATGAGCGGTTCCACAATGCAGACTTTTCCGGCTCCTGGGATGAACCTTGAAATATTACTGCACACAGAGTAAGAAGTATAAAATGTACATAGCAGTAGTGCCCTGATGTGGAGTTTGGGGGAAATTTTTGTTGTATTTGGCTAAAACAGATACTTCTCATAGGGAATGTTCATAACTTAGGTATTTATTTTTGAACACATTGTTCTGATCTTTCTATTTTCAGAATCACTTCAAAAGGCATTCCTGCTTACATTGAGTTTTTGCTTTCTTTTTTTAAGGTTTATTATCGAATTTTTTCTTAATTCAGAAAGCTTCCTTTTTCCATTACTCTTGTAAACTGGTAGGGGCCATTTCTACACTTACAATGATAATGTGTGATGAATATCATGGTCACATCTGACTTTTGGAAGATTTATCAACAAATTATAAAAACAAAACTCTTCTATCTTCATTTCTTTTCCTCTGTAAGTCTTGAAGGTGATCTCTCTTCATCACTGCCTTGAATGTGTTCACTTCTTTGGAAAATCATTTTAATATCCTAAGAAAAATATTCAAATTTACAAAGTTACAAATATTAACAAAAATTTAGAATTAATCACTAACACATACCAGTGATTAAACAGCAAGTTGTTCCTATTTATTTTTTCATTTGAGAATATGATTCTCCACTTCGTTTGAATCCCACCCTATCACTTACCAGTTGTATCCTTGAAAGGATATCTAGGACCTTAGAACATTGGTTTACTCATCTGATAATGGAGTTGTCATATTAGATTAAACAACATTTGTGAAAGCAACTACACACACTACATCACGTAATTAGAAAGCTGAAAGTTTGTTTCCCTATTAAAAAAGAAAAAGCAGTACTCACCTTCTAGGAAAGGGAAGTTTTAATGCCAAATTAACTATTATACAGAGTTGGAGAATTTCTAAACAACAAATTACTGTTCCGGGGTTGTCTCATTCCTTCATTTTCTTTTATTTTTGTAATATCAGGGATAAAATGGTTTGCTTTTTACTCATTTAAAATATCCAGCTATCTTACATCAGATATTTTCCAATACAAACATAAAGTATCATGACAACATAGAAGGAGTACCAGCACATGGAAAATGTGGAATTGCATTTATGTAGTATTTAGTTTAGTTTTTTTTTTTTTTTTTTTTTTACTTTACAAATTTAGGGAAGTGGTTTAAGAACCTAAGTTCTTTTTTCTCAGAGCTGATTTCCAAAGGTCTCAATTTGACTGTGGTCATTTTGCTCACGAAGATGGAAGTTAGTTCACTGAGCTGATGATTGGCACATCAATTACTGCCAGGAATCACAGTGAATCATTTCCTTGTGGGACCTTGTTCTTTGAAAATACAGATCTCCTAAAGCCAAAGATCAATCTAGGGTAAAACAAGTGGAAAAGAACAGCTACTCCCCATTGACTTTTCAAGTCCTACACACTACAATCGTTAATAACATGTCTTCTTCAAATACTATGCTTATAATAACTAAAGTTAAATATTGAAAGTTAATATGGGAATTAAGGAATGAGCTGATTTGGGATTATCTGATGCTCCATAGCATGGGAAAAATGATAAGCACCAGATAATGTTTAAATCAGCCTTGGCTGAATTTATAGCTTTTGCTGAATTTATAGCTGAAATTAGGGGCCATAAATTTCAGTAGCAGAGAATGGAGAAAAGCTCTGAGAGAGTCAGAAAATGTTTGACAACAGGCATTTTGGAAACAGCTGTCGTCTTTCCTTATAAAGATACAGAAGAAGGTTGGAGAACAAGTTAAAATTAGACCTCCTGAAGACAAGATGGAATCAAAGTTCAGTCCCGTGTATCAGGACAGGTATGTTGTTCTAAGGTGATTGTGTCCTGAGTCAGATGTTTATAAGATATTGTCCTGTGTCATTCTGAGTTTAATGCTAAAAGACGTCTTGCTATCTCCCATGAATATAAACCTTAATCATAAGGCAACATAACTTGATTTACAGGCTTGCTAAAAGAAATTTACACTTATTCAGCATGTGATCATTGTAAGAAACTAAATTTATTAAGTTATTGGAGAAACCCATTTGTTCATTTGCATTTGTAATTATCTTTGTACGGGAAACTGACAGCGCTCACCAGCAACCCAGTTACAATATCCTCTTTGATCTTACTATATTTCCCCAAATCCCTTTCGCAATAATTTAGGAACATTACTTGAAAATAACTTCCTTGTATAAGAGCTATGAAAGTAGAAATGAGATAAGTGACTGTAACTGAATGACTAAAATCCATCACAAAATCTGGAACTGGCACATACGTAGTGACCCTGTGGGGCTTCCTGGGACTTCAGTTTGAACCCTTTATCCTCATGGCACTGTGTGAGTGAAAGTCTTCTTTCCAAAGAGAAGTCACTATGCATTCATCAAGAGATGGAATCCAGCTCACTATTCCCTCCACATATCATTTTGCATGGCTCAGGGATATTACTTGTGCACTGTGCCTGCTACAGACCAGCCATAGGATTAGTACTAACAATCTAACATTTATTGAGTGCTTTTATCTGCCAGGAACTGAGATAAACACTCTATACGTGTTTAATCATTTAATCCATACAAAAGCCCTGCAGTGTAGGTATAGTAATTAGCCTTGTCTTACAGATGGGGACACCAAGTCACCACGAGGTAACTTGCCCAAGGTCACTCGCTTCATAGGCATGGAAACAATCAGTGTGGCTCCTGAGCCCACTCTCATAACCACACAGTCAGTCCACCTGATAATAGAAACAATGCTAAAATACATCGTCATCATCACCTGTACGCAGCTTTCTCAAATATGTATTTTAGAATGTTGCTGCTTCTAAACATGAACCTTGTAAACACAGAGCTGTTAGCCAACAATCTTCACTTCCCACTGTTTATTATAGCAAACAACATTTTAACTCGAAAAACCACACTCTAGTTTTTGCTCTACTTATCTCAAAAGATCTTCACATAACATCACTGTGGTTAAAGTTCATTTTAAAAATGTGATCTGTTTACTTGTACATGGATATCTGGAGCAAAAAATGATGATAGCACAGCTGTGATAGTTGCGAGCCATCAAGGACTTCTCCTGCCCCACCCCCATCTCTCTCTCCCTTTCTCCCTTCCTTCCTTCCTTCCTTTCTTTCTTCAGTTAGTAGAAAGATGAGAACAGAGCACATTACTGGAAAGGGACCCTCTTTCATTTCAGGTATCAGATTTAGACTTTTCAGGTCTAATTTTAGACTTTTCAGGTCTAGTTTTCCCACATT